CTACCTTTATACCACAAAGCATGTCTTTCCTCCAATAGCTGTTTATGATTCTCTCTCCTTCTCCCTCTGCCCCTCCCTGCCTAAAAAAAAAAACCATAGAGGACAACCACTCAAGAAAATAATTATTTACAACAGTTCCAAAACAGAAACCACCTAAATATCCATCAATAAGAGAATGGATAAATAATCTGTAATATGGCCATATAATGAAATCTTACCCACCAGTAAAAAAAATAGTAACATTAATAAATCTCAAAATAATTATGCTGAATGAAAGAAGACAGTCCCAAAACAATTCATACTGTATGATCCTACTTGTGAAATTCAAAATAATCTATGGCGGCAAAGATCAGATCAATGGTTGCCTGAGGTAGAAAGTGTTGGGGAGAGAGGAGAATGGGCTGCAAAGGGACACAAGAAATCATCTCAGAATGAAAGATATGTTCTACATCCTGACTGTGGTATGGTTTCAGGGCTGTATACAATTGTCAAAATCATCAAATTTTAAGTGGATAAAGTTTATTATAGATAAATCATTATTCAATAAAGTTGGTTTAAAAAAACAATAGCCGAAGAGAAAATATACATTACATACAATGGTGTGAATGACAGCGGACCTCACATCAGAAACCAGTGGAGGCCAGAAGATGACAAAATGACTATCTTTATAAGTAATGAAAGAAAAAACAAAACAAAAAACTTTTTCCAACCCAGAATTATTTATCAATTAAAAATATCCTTCAGAAATAAGGGTGAACGAAAGACATGTCTGGTAACAAAAACTGAACTGGATGCTGGCAGACCTTAACTAGAAGAAATATTAAAGGAAGTTTTCTAGAAAATGGGAGATGAACCCAGATGGAAATGTGGACCTTAAAATAGAAAAGCAGAGCAGTGGGGGTGTTAAATATGTAGGCAAATAGAAAACACTATTTTTTGTGCTCCTCTTAATTGAAGTTTAAACTAACAATTTAAATTTCATTATACTGTGGGATCTATAATGAATGTAGGTATAAAATACATGACAAAATAGCACAAAGGCTGGGGGCGGGGGAGGCAAACAGTTCTTATATTTTACATGAAATGGTACAATATTAGCTCAAAGTCAACTGTGAAAAGTTACAGGTGCATATTGTAATCCCTAGATTAACTGCTAAAAAAAAACAGGTATAGGTAAAAATCCAATAAAGGAATGAAAGTGGATACTAAAAAATAGTCAATTATCAAAAGAAATTAGGAAAAGAGGTACAGAGAAACAAAAGGGAAAATCGCAAGATGGCATACTTAAACACAGCCATATCAATGATTACATTATATTTAAATGGACTAAATACTCCAATTAAAAACCAGAAATAAAGTGGCTAAACAGCCAGACCCAACTATATGTTGTCTACAAGAACTGCATTGCAAATATAAGAACAGGGTGAAAACTAAAGGAAGAAAGCAGATATATCATGCAAACAATAAGCAAAAGAAAGATCATGAGGCTGTATTATTATCAAAGTACACATCAAGTCAAAGGGTCTAAGTAGAGACATTTCATAATGGTAGAAGAACAAAGAAGATATACCAATTATAACTGTTTATGTACCTAATGATAGAACTTCAAAATGCATAAAGCAAAAATTGACGGAATTAAAGCAAACAATAAACAAATTCACAATAATATCTGAAGAGTTTAACAACCCACTCTAAGTAATTGGTAGAAAAACCAGAGTAAAAAAATCAGTAAGGATCTATAAGACTTGAACAATATTATCACACTAACTTGATATGACCAACAATTATAGAGTATTATCAACAAGTACAGAATAAACATTCACCAAGAAAGAATATGCTGAACCATAAATTCAATAAAATTTAAAAATTGACATTCTACAGAGTAGTCCCTGACTACAGTGGAATTAAGTTAGAAATAAAAAAAGGAAAATTAGAAATGAATAGCAAAGAAAATATGCTATAGCAAAATTGGTGGGATAAAGCCAAAGCAGTGCATAAAGAGAAATTTACAGCTTTAAATATTTATATTTAAAAAAAGAAGGTTTAAAACCAATAGTATAAGTTTCTTACTTCAGAAAAAGAAGATTAAACTCAAAGTATAACGGAGAAATAATAAAAATAAGAGGAAAAAAGTCACTGAAATAGGCAACAGAAAAATTACAAAGCAAAAAATTAGGTTTTTGAAAAGATTAATAATATTGATAAATCTCTAGCAAGATGATCAAGAATAATGGAGATAAAACACAAATGACCAATTTTAGGAATGAAAACTGAGCCATTACTGTAGATTCTACAGACAAGAAGAAAATAAGGTGTGTAGATTTGTATTATGTTAACTTAAGCAAAGCTGTAATTCCATTTCCCAGGATTTACATTGCATAGCTCTGGTTCAGTGTGGACCACATGAGTCATTATGGGTGAAATCTGAAAGAAAGTTGGTTCAGGGTGTGAAGTGCATTTGCAGTTCAAGCATACTGTCACTTATCTTCTGACTCACCCTACTAGTATGGAGCAGCTCCTGCCAGATTTCCTCCTTCAGCTTTTTTGACTCCTTAGCCAGGTATATATTTAGTACTGTTACAATAGGACACCCCAATCATCAAAGTTGGAAGTCTCAGAAGCAATGAGAGCCCAACATGGGTTCCAGTCTATCCTCATGAGGTTCCAGTTCATCCACACAGGTTATACTTTGTCCTTGTTTCCACCACTTCATCTTCTCTTCCCGACTGCCCTCACTATTGACTTCAGGCTCCAGAACCAGACATGAAATCAAGAGCCTCACATAAACCCTTTAGTCAGCTTGTATGTTTGTAGTAGGTCAAATCCCAATTTGACAATTTAGAAGAAATGGACAAATTCTTTGAAAGACAAGCTACCAAAGCTTACTCAAGAAAAAATAGAGGGGCACCTGGCTGGTGCAGTTGGTTAAGTATCCGACTCTTGGTTTTGGCTCAGGTCCTGATCTCAGGGTCGTGAAATTGAGCCGCACATCAGGCTCTGCACTCAGCAGGGAGTCTCCTTGGAGTTTCTCTCTCCCTCTGCCCTTCCCAACCCCCTGCTCTCTCTCTAAAATAAATAAATAAATCTTTAAAAACAAAAAGAAAAAATAGATAACCTAACTAGATAGCCCTATACTTATTTTTAAATCAATGGAACAGAACAGAGAACTGAGAACTAGAACCCACACATACGTAGCAAAACAATTTTCAACAAAGATGTCAAAATAACTCAATGGAAAAAGAAAACTCCTTTTAACAAGTAGTGCTAAAACAACTCGACATATATATAAAAAAAAAGTGAAATTCAATCTCTGACACTATATACAAAAATTACTTAAAGATGGATCATAGATTTAACTAAAGTTTCTAAAAGAAAAATAGGAGAAAACCTTTGCTCTTCGGGGTAAGCAAAGATCTCCTATGACAAAAAAAGTGCTATCTGTAAGAGAAAAACTTGACAAGAGAACATCATCAAAATTAAAACTTCTTATCAATAGACACCATAAAGAAAATTGAAAGGCAAACCAAACTGGAGGAAAATATTCACAATGCATATCTGATGAAGAACTACATAGCATTAATAAAACAACAATAAACTAATTAAAAACTGAGCAAAAGACTTGAAAAGACACTGCACAAAAGATATACCAATGACCAAGAGGTACACAAAAAAGGCACTCCACATAATTAGTCATTAGAGAGATACAATTTAGTAGGATGACTAAGATTAAAATACTGACCATACCAAATGTTGGCAAGGATATGAAAATACCGGACTTTTCATTCATTGATGGTGTAAGTGTAAAATGGTACAACCACTTAGGAAAACAGTTTGAGTATTATAAAGTTAAATATATACATATCTACCCTAGGACCCACCTATTTTATTCTTAGCTATATTACTGAAAAGAATCAAAAACATTCATCCATAAAAAGATCTGTACAAGAATATTTATAGCTTCATTCATAATAGCCCCAAACTAGAAATAACTCCAATGTCCATCAAAAAGGGAATAAATTGTGGTATAATCATTTCAAGAATAAAATACCAATACATGTAACCACATGGATGAATCTCAAAACATTATGTTGAGTGACAGTAACAGACACACAAGAGTACACATGTTATGATTCCATTTATATGAAGTTTAATAATAGGTAAAACTAATCTATGGTGATAAAAATCAGAAAAGGTTAATACCTGTTTAGGGTTTGAATTAATTGGTAGAGGGCACATAGAAACTTCATGGGGTGACAGAAATATCCTACATCTTGAGTAGGGTATTGATTAAACAGGAATATTCATTTGACAAAACTCACGAATTACACACTTAAAGATTTATACATTTCATTCCATGTAAATTTTATCTCAGTATAAAAAGAAAAAAATTCACTTCTGAAAATTTCAAGTCATCAATAGGATGAAGTTATATTTTTCTTTTTTGAAGTTATATTTTTCAAAACAGCATATTTTTAAGAAAATCCCAAGAGAACTTTATTTTTAATCACTTAAGATTTAATGAGGACTTTAAATTTAAAAGTAAAGCTTTAGATATCCTATCAAATTTATTAACATGAATACTGCTCTCAGGGCACCTGGGTGGCTCAGTCATTAAGCATCTGCCTTTGGCTGAGGTCATGATCCCAGGGTCATGGGATCAAGCCCCACATCGGGCTCCCTTCATCAGGAAGTTTGCTTCTCTCTCTCTCCCCTACTTGTGTTCCCTCTCTCGCCGTGTCTCTCTCTGTCAAATAAATAAATAAAATCTTAAAAAAAAAAAAATACTGCTCTGAATATAAGAACTGCTCTGAAATGTAAGGAACTTCAATGGAGTACTACTGTGGCCTTTCTTTCCATCTATTACAAATTGGTTTTGTGATGTTATAAACTTTAAGCGGAATGCCAAACGACTAAAGACCTTTAAGTCTATTTCTTTAAAAATAGAAAAACGTAACAGGAAGAAAAAAAGAGAAAAATATAGTAAAAGGAAGGCATCATACCTGTTGGGAGAGGTATATATATCCTTTTTTCTAATCTCCTTCTCAAAGCTTCATCAATGTCCCATGGGAAATTAGTAGCAGCCAATACCATAACCATCTTGGAAGGATCATCATTCTCTAAAGCTCCTCCAACTCCTATACACAATTAGGGGAAAAGAAGGCATTTTCCTTAAAGTCCTTTATTCTCTCATTCAACTAACATCTCTAAGCATCAGCCAGAGGTTTGTCATAGGCTCAATGACGGAAATAATGCAGTCCTTCTGACCTCTGTATGGTGGCAGAACCAGACACACCAACAGGTAACTATAAAACAAGGAGGCAATAGAATTCATATAATCTATTACAGGATTCTAATCCAGTAAGAAAAACCATTTTTTTAATAACAAAATGAGTGTATAGTTGCTCTGAAAAGAAAAGGCATGGGAGATTACGCTGTTTTACTCCTTTTTTAAATCATGAAGTCCCTCAGAAAATTTTTATTTTAGTTGTTAGTCTAATTTATTTTCTCAAGAAGGAATGAAGAAGGTTCACATTTGCTAATGTACTAGCAAGCAATCATAATATGGCAGGATATACTGCAATAATTTTATCCTTCAAACTTCTAAGTGACTTGGAAAAAACAAAAAATCTGAGAATGAACCTAATAATCATCACTACTGAAAATATCATTTCTTTTTATACCAAACCAAACATATATACCTTGAGTCTACTTTTTCAGAATTAAAGTTTTAGAATAAAAAGTTTCAGGTTACACAATGGAAACTTTGGAAAATGTGCAGTAAAAACAAACAAACAAACACAAACAAACAAACAAAACAAAACTCACAAACTTTATTACTAAGAGTTTCTAGTTGTGGCCTGGCATAACAAAGTAGTGAATTTAAAGCAACCCAGTTCAATATGGTATTTTCTTAATAAATTATTACCAAACTCCTGTTTCAATCATTATCACAAAGAATCAAGCTATGCAACTAATAATCCCCAACAGTAGTCACAAACACCCCTTGATGAAATTCAGCTGACTAAATTTATATTCAGTGATATTTTTAAAACATCTAATGTATTTCTCCTCTAGATCCCTCCCCCAAAATATACTTTAGCAGGAATTAAAATGATAAACTCAGGGAGGGCAGGGACTCATATACTACACTGCTTTATGCATCCTTACGGTGCCTGGCACTACATAACACACACTGTAAGGATTCAGTAAGTATCCACGGTTGCTGTAGAACCATAGCTGTTTTGAAACAACACATTCTGGGTATTTTTTTTAACACATTTTACATTTGCCACACAACTACCAGAATAATAAACCTCTGAAGGCAGCTCTGGCCCATCACTCTCTTCCTTCATTGCCATTTCTTTGAATAACTTCTACCAAAGCTTCAAAGCCCAACTTGGCTGTTCCCTTCCATGACTCCCTCAGTCTGGGTGGTACCTCTCCTACTGTGTCTTCACCACACCCAGAGTTTAGTTCTACCACACAATTTAAAATGTATTGTTAAGTTGCCTGCTTCCCAACTAGATCAGTGGTTCTACTTTTTGGTTTCATGATATGTTGTCTATACTCTTAAAAAATTACTGAGCTCCAAAGAGCTTTTGTGTGTGTGGAATACATCTATCAATATTTACCATTAGAAATTAAAACTGAGAATTTTTTAAAATATTCATTTTAAAGTAACAATAATTCCAGTATTTTTTAATATAAATAACATTTTATGAAAAATAACTGATTTTCAAAACCAAAAAAAATTTAGTAAGAAGAGTGGCGTTTTCCTACATTTTTGTAAATCTCTTTAATGTGTGACTCAACAGAGAACAGCTGGGTTCTCTTATCTGCTGCTGCTTTCCATCTATGATGACATCCCAAATGTCTTGCAGCCTCTGAAACACTCCACTGTATTCTTGTGAGAGAATGAGAGCGAAAAAGGGCAAATAATGTCTTGATATTATCGTGAAAATGGTTTAGCCTTCGCAGACCTTTTAAGAGGGCCTGAAAGATCCCTGGGGCCCCGGACCACATCTCTGGAAGCTCTGCAGTCCTAGTAAAGTCCTTACCAGCCATGACACTCCTTTTCTTTGTAACCTCAGAACCTGAAATGGCATGTGATTCATAACACGTATGCGGTAAATGCTATCTGAGTGCATGAACAAACTGAACAAGTGGGTGGATGAACAAATGATTACAAATAAATTCAGGCTGCCTTCGAGTCCATTCACTGAGAATTTCCACAATATGAATCTACCCAAAATTCAAAAAGGAAATACAACAGTTTGGGGACAGTAATTAAATATCAATTACCATCCATCTGAATGAGTAGTTCAGACTTGACTCTGCGACTTGCCTCATGTTCATCAGAGGTTCCTCTTCGACTACAGATAGAATCTATCTCATCGATGAAGATGGTGGTAGGCGCATAAAATCTAGCCTTTGTAAAAAACATTTTAAAGAAACCATTCAATGAGCTCATAAAACAATCTGAATTTTTTAATGCCATTTCCTCCTCCTAAAACAATGGTAAAAAAAGAGCAGAAATTTCTCACTTGCCACCATTTGGCTACTGACAGAGATTAAATCATTTACATAAGAAAATGGAAATTTCTAAAAATAAAAGATGGTTGGTGAAGGTGGGTGACAGATACATGGGGATTCATAGTACTATTATTTCTACTTTTTTGTTTGGAACTTTCCATAATATAAATCTTTTTAAAGATAAATCATCCATCTCTATCTTCCAATATATATTCTTAAATAGCTACTGCAAGTCCCTTATGAAAAAAGAACAAACTTTAATGATAGATTTCTAATTTTTAAAACATATACTAAAATATACTCTGCTCAACCAGCTCATTAGAAATCCAGAAATATCACACCACACACATTTCCAAAGTGTCTTCCACCCTCACTGGATAGGATGCCAAAGGGTCTTCCCTTACCTCAGAGAGGAAGAAACACTGAAGACACATCAACTACTCCACAAAATCCACCATCCCATACCTTACTCATGTGTCAGGATGAACTGTTCAACTACAACTCCATTTGCCCTTTTAAAAACAGATCCCTAAGTGAATGGATGTAAAAGGGGTATCATCTGCCTACACAAACAGTACTTTGAAATCTGCATATATCATCACTTACCATTTCAAACAACAGACGGACTAACTTCTCAGATTCACCTCTATATTTAGATGTCAGTGTAGAAGAGGAAACGTTGAAGAATGTTGTGCCACATTCAGTGGCAACAGCTTTAGCTAGCATAGTCTTACCAGTGCCTGGGGGTCCAACCATCAGTACACCCTGAAATTTCAAAAGCTGTATTAAATGTTTTATCAGATTAAAATGCATTCTTATAAAATATCATCAGCTATTGATGTACATAAAAATTTTCCCATCAAAAGATAAGCTCAACTGTCACAGCAAAATCACAGTGTATTTGACATAGTATCATTTCACAGATTTAAAAAAATGACTGATTTCACAAAACATCTCAAATCAGAGGTACTTAGAGATGGGCTAACAAAAGGCCCAGACAATAAGAAATCTTCTAATACGTTGAGAAAGAACCTACCCAATTTTCTTAAACCTGGAAGAAGATAAATATGTACAGTTTTGAGCATGGCTTAAGAGTGACTGCTCTGCTTAAACATAATGAAAGTCAGACATTTTCTACCACATCTCGTAGAACTATATATCCCTTACCCTCCTAAGGGACAAAACCTGTCTTCCACAACACATAATACACAGTTTTTAATCAAAAGTAGAAATCCACTTATTAGTTACTAAGGTAACTAAAAATCCAGTGGCAATTCAAGCGTAATCAATTTAGCTAGCATGTTATCAGCTTAATGTGCTTCACAATTAATAGTTTATATAAAATAGTGTTACTGATGAAAGAGCCACTAAATATAGACTAAAAACTAAATTTTAGTTACTTCTCACTTTGAAAACAAAAAAATTCTTCTGTAAAAATAAGTCAATAAGGAGTAAAAGTTATTCAAGAAACACCAATCCTCTAGTGTTGAAGACTACTGGATATTCAAATACTCAGTATTTTCTTCTTCCAGAGGGAGTTCAAATACAAAGTTAATACTACATTTTGTGTGTGTGTGTGTGTATTAGTTGGTGATCTTTAAAAGAATTCTGTCCCATTTATTAATTTAGTTTAATAAGCTTCTGGGGATTTAAACTTTGAAAACTATGCACACATAAAGTTTCACAAATTCAGAAACTGTCTAAACCCTTTCCTAGTGTGAAAATTAATGAAAGGAAAACTCCTTTAAAATAGAGCTGCGAGGCCAGAAGGGGGAGCTCTCATGCCCTACAACTCTTAGTCAATTGCAGACCCAACTGGAAGAGACCAGCCTTGCAAGTCTATTCTACATTAGCTACTTCACCACCCCAGCAGGAGGAAGAAAGGTTTTTCTCCTGCCCTGGCAACAATGAGAGAGTGTCAAAACCAATGAGACAGTGTCAAAACCCAGCCAATGAAAAACCACTATACTTGAACCTCACACTTTATTCCAGTAGACTTTTTCTTTATTACAGCCCTCCCAATTTCCCCTTTTCTCTATAAAGAAGTGTTCTGGGCGCCTGGGTGGCTCAGTTGGTTAAGCGACTGCCTTCGGCTCAGGTCATGATCCTGGAGTCCCTGGATCGAGTCCCGCATCGGGCTCCCTGCTTGGCAGGGAGTCTGCTTCTCCCTCTCCCGCTCCCCCCTCTTGTGCTCTCTCTCTCTCTCAAATAAATAAATAAAAAAAATCTTTAAAAAAAAAAAAGAAGTGTTCTTCTCCTTTGTTCCTGAGACTTGCCTATGGTTCTGCCATAGCTTGCGTGTCCCAAATTGCAATTCTCTGCTATTCCCAAATAAACCCATTTTTTGCTGATAAAATAACTGACAGCTTTATTTTTAAGGTTAACACTAGCTATAGAATTCTGACACCCAGAAAGAGGATTTGAAACACTACTTTTATAAATTTTTTTTTGCTTTCCAAGGAGCTTATAACTGTGAATGAGATGGATATTTTGAAAACTGTAAAAACAACTAATGGTATAAGCACAGCTATAGCAAAATTCATTCTTTCTCTAATGTCCCCTTTGAAGGCCCTCTCAGTTCCTGTAATGTCTTTCATGTGGCCACCTCTAATATGAGTTAATTTCCAACATTGGCATCTGTACATAGATAAAATCACACAGTATTTATAAATTTCAGCTCCTCGTGACATTACTCTTTCAATTATCTCCTCTATTTCCTCTCTCCTTCTGTACTGGCTCCTTCCCTCAGTATATAAACATACTTAAATCTGTCCTGTTTAAAAAAAATCCTTCGCTTGACCCTACAAATCCTCTAGATACTATCCACTTCCTCCCTTTTCAGCCAACCTTCTTAAAGAAATGGTTCATACTTACTATTTTTTATGAGCTACAATCTCACTTCTGTCTCCACTAATTCACTAAAATGACCTAATTTACTAATCCAATGCTCACTTTTCAACTTATATCTTCTTTCCTTCTCCCTGACCTCTGATGGTGCTGATACCTGATGTTCATTCCCTTCTTCCTGAAATGCTTTTTCCCTAGGTTCTAAGACACTGTTCTCCCCTGCTGCTCCTCCTACTCATGACTCTCTTCAGTGCCTTCCAGGTTTCCTCCTCCCCTACCCTCTACATTCTCAAAGCAATTCCAAGCTTCTTGCTCTTTTTCCTTTATAGACCTCCTTGAACAATCTCATCCACACCTATATTATTACAATTTTAATTTAAATTCAAACTCTATCCTAAGCTCCAGACCTCTATTTCCAATTACTTGCTGAGTATTTACCTAAACATATTTTGTTTCTATTTAAACCTGCTCATCTTCTCAATTTCCAGTATCAGTTTACAGTGTGCACCCTGTTTAATAAAGAATTTGGCTGGTCTTTTTCCCCACTTCCTAGGAAGTAGACTATAAATCCTTGGAATTACCAAAGTAACAGGAGTGTTTTTGTTGTTCATTTGAACCGTGAAATTTTATGCTGAGGTGACTCATGGTGGGCCCCTATAGAGTTTATGCTAATGAGATGATTCAAGATGGTGGCCTGCCTTGCCAGAAAAACCAACCATGGGATTAGAGGGCTGGACCTTGAGTCATATGATACCAACTAGACCTAGAGAGAGAAAGGAGACTGGAGACTGAGACACATGGGCAGTGATTCAATCAATCATGACTCTGTAATGAAACCCCAATAAAAACCCTGGACACTGAAGCTTGAGTGAGCTTCCCCTAGCTATCCATGCGCTAGGAGGGCAAAGCATCCTGATTCTACAGGCAGAAAACAACAGACGCTTCACTTTCAGCATCCTTACAGATCTCGCCCTGTGCATTTTTTCCTTTGGCTGGCTCTGATTTGCCTCCTTTTGCTAGGGTAAAACTAATTTTAAGTACAGTATTTTCTTAAGTTCTGTGAGTCATTCTAGAAAATTACCAAACCTAAGGGGGGTAGTAAGAACCCCCAAATTTACAGCCAGCTGACCAGTAGTTAGGGTGACCTGGGGATGCCCAAGTTTGCATTTGGCATCTGAAATGAGGACAGTCCCATGGAAAAGTGCCTTCAACCTGTAAGGTTTGGTCCAATTTGGGGTTGCTGGTGTCAGGAGTAATTGCACACTCCTTCAAGCCTGGAATTTGGGAGTCATACAACTTGTCCCTCACCCTGTAAACACTCAGTCATAATGTTACCATTTACATTTTAAACATCTCTCACAAATCCACCCATTTCTCACTAGTCAAATAATAAATGTCTTTTTTCAGGTTCTCATTGTTCAGCTCGACTATTACAACAGCCTCCTTCATCAGATTCCTCACCTATATCCACCTATGCCCATCTCCAGTCCATCCTTCACACTGCTGACCAAGGTGATCTTTCTACATGTGCAAACCACCTTCCCGATAAAGACTTACAGGGCTCATCATGATAGAGGTAGGTTATACCTACCAAGCTCACGGTCTTAAAACTCCTTTAAATACCTATTTTAAGACTTTTTTTCTCTCTCTTTTAAATACTGTTTTAAAAGTTAAAATAAAGATGGTAATGTTACCAAAATTAGGTAAATCTATACCAGTCTATAAAAGTTTTTAAGTTGTAGAAGACAATCAAAATGCCATGAATATTCCAAGCTATTTGTGTAAATATAAAATCTCTCCTCCTCTTTACTTTTAGGTGTGTCAAAAGAGGAAGAGATACTGAGAAGGGAAACAGCCTTCCTAGCTAATTCAGAAGGGCAAAGTAAAATCATGGTTTTATTTCACTCTACCAATCAGATTAAAGGAAACCTTTGCCTATGACTAAGACCAAAAAAAATTTCCAGGCAGCCATTGTTAGAAGGGCTTTTTAATATGCTAAAATAAAAACAATGGATTTAGGAACTAGTCCTAAGCAGGCTTTTTACTCTAAAGTGGAAGGCATGTCTGAGAATAATATCAAGCCTAAATGAAGTGATCAAAGCAATTAATTAGTGAGAAATATGCCAACTTTTAGAAAGGTTTATTTGATCAAATTCTATAAGACTATCTACTATTTAATTTCCTTCTTAACTTATTTACAGAAACAGACATCTAGAAAATTCTTAAAGCTAATCTCTAACCCGGCAAACCTAAGGGGAGTGACTTAACTAAAGACTGTAGTTTCAACACTCTTCCTCTGAGAGACAACACATCTCAACTACAAATTCAAATCCAGGTATTTAGGATGTACAAAAACCTCCTCCAATCTTTACTAACTTGGTTAACAAACACATTAAAAAAACCACAATGCTGTCATTCATGATCACGCAAGCATCATTTTTATACCTATTTTATTTTAATAAATGCTCACCTTCCATGGCCTTCTAATCCCTTTGAAAAAGTCAGGCATCCACATTGGAAGGACAACAGCTTCCCTTAGCAACTTCTTAGCTTCTTCCAGATCTGCTATGTCATCCCTTTGCAAGAGCAGCAAAGTTTCATGTTTATTCACGGATACCAGATACGGTCAATACTAATTTTTTAAATTTTTTATTTATGAAATTATATTAAGAACACTATTTTAATTAATACTGCATAAAATGATCAGTGAAAACATACTGCAGTTATTAATTAGGATATGTTATTCACTTAACAACCTTTGTCATTTATGTCAACATCAAGTTAACATGTAAAATGTCTTGGTTAGATTTTGAAAGAACTGTCCTGTCAATTTTACACATGCATTTATTATGATGAAATCATAGTCATAGATAATAAGAAAAGATTCACACAAGGCCAACCAATAACTTGTTTTCTCTGCTGCTTTAATTCAAGAACTTAAAAGACTTACCAATGAATGCTAGGATTCCTGGACACAATGTCTCTCTCAAGCGCTTCCACTAGATCCTTATCATACCCAGCACCATCAAATTTAGGAATTTCACCATCACTTGCCCCATCTTGCATATTCTTCCTTCCCTGTAGACAGGTATAAAAAAGTACTGGTCAATAACAAGATAACTTTAACATCATTGAGCTTTCAAAATATTATAATGTAATCATTTTAAGTAATTTTTCATTATTTTAAGATAGAGTTTTCTGATGACCCAAATGCCATCCTCCCCTGTTTATTTCATCAGAAACAGATGAATTGGCCAACTTTATTACACACTTCTTCACATTTACATCCTTGGGGGTACAGTTTCAAGTAAGACTAAAATGATCCTAGCTAGATACTTCTGAATTTGTGGATGCAGGGAATTCCCACCACCACCAAAGAATATACAGAATATTAATGCAGAGGAAGAAAAACATTAATTTACTGAGAACCTACTACATGACAATAAATCTCACGTATATTATCTCATGTAATACTCACAATAAGGTAGGTACTGTTTTACAAATAAGGAACTGGGACTCAGGTGAAGTACCTTAATCAAGTTCATAATTATTAAATGTCAGAGCAGAGATTTTTATGCAGCTCTTCCTGACTCCTCAAACCTATGCCCTTTGCACAACATCAGACCACCTCATGCCTAACTAAGTCAGCTTAAAGCTTAAGACCTTTACAAACTATGAATCCTCCAAAGCCGAGAAAGGCTGCCGATGAGGAAAGCCTTGGGACTCTGAACTGCATCTTACAAAGCCTTTTCCCTGTTACTCTAAGCACCTCCCAGGATTCAGGTTTCTTCCCAGTAAAGTCCTTGGACCACATCACAAAATCACTGCAATGATAATGGTAAAAGGACCTTTTTAAATAGTATTATTAAGACCACTAAAGCAGTATACTTTACCCCAAATTCTTTATTTAACAATATGGTGGCTTAAAAAAAGAATTACATACTCTGGTTTCTATGGGGTTCTGCTAAGATTTACTCAGCTTTGAAGAGCTTTAAATGAAATGCGCTCAGTTGCTAGAGATAGTTCAACCACTGGAACTACTTCAGGAGACAGAGCCAAATACCTCCCTAGAGCTTCAGCCCCACAGTTACTGTCTAATACAAAAGTGAAAGGGAAAGTGGTCAAAAAAATGTGTGAATTTCCTAAGCTTAAATCTGAAGAGAGAAAAGAATGAACCTCTCCTACCACACGTCATCTGAGATTAACCATAGGCTTGATCATAAGTGCTGACAGGGGACTAAATGGCTCCCCTTGGGCAAATGCTTGAGTTCATTAAGCCACTAGGTAAATGACCAAACAGTAGTCTTGGTGCCTTGACCCAAAAAATGAATAATTTACTGTTTCTGGGTAGCACAGTGACAATATTAAGCTAAATTTTCAGAAAGATTCTTGTATTTCAGATGATAGATACCAATAGTGACACTATCAAAAAGAGTACATTTCTGGCATACCTAACACAACAAACATAATATCTACAAATTTAAAATAAGCTCAGCCTAGAATCACACTTTATAATACAGGGAGGACAAGGCTACAAAGTCACATTCAAACAAATCACTGGAAATTCTCTGTAATCATTTTAAAAACTCTTCTAAAAATAAATCAACTAAAGAATGCAACAGAAACCAATATATCTGGGACTTAATATGCCATGATATGGCATTGTAATTTAGACTTACCAAAAAATTATTATTAAAAAATATAAGTAGACATCCATTTTAATATGAATGCCCAAGTGGTAGGAAAGACATGATAAACACTGCCACGGGGGAAAGAAAAAGCTGTACACTTATCTCTAAGTAGTAAGAATCAGAGGATTTAAGAATAACCATGTGAGTATCTGTCTAATACATTTCATTGTGCATTAGGTTTTATCAGCGAATGAAAATACACTATCTGCCCTCATTGAGCATCTGGTCTAGTAGGGGAAACAAGTAACAAGTGAACAAAACAAAAACACATATAATCAAACTGTGAAATGCTATGAAAAAAAACTAAGTGGTCTGTATGGCTAAGAGGTACTGAACAAATAAAACAGATTGGAGAGACAGGCAGAGGCCAGCTCACCTAGTCCCCTATAGGCTACAGGGAGGAGTTTGGATTTTACTCTAAATGCATCGGGAAATTTTTGAAATGTGTTAAACAGGGGAATGACAGGATCTGATTTATATTTTTAAATGACCCTTCTGCCTACTGTGTGGAAAAACGGATGGGGTAGAGGGAGAAGTAGAAGCAGAGAAAGAAGAGCGTGTGTTATAGTACTCAAGGTCAAGCCTTTCTTCACAGAAGAGAAAATGTGGGTGTAAGCCAATAAAATGACTTGCTCTAGAACCCAAAGTTTATCAAAGGTAGAGATGAGATTTGGATACAACCTAAGTACTCCAAAAAAAATTCTAGGAACTCTTCCAAGTCAAAATGGTGAGGTTATTAAAAAACAAATTTAGATAAACTAAAAATAATTAATTTGGTGACATTGGGAAATCAACAAAATGGGTGACCATTATCCTTCATAACAAATACTCCGATAAATTGGAATAGGGATATCAAATATAAGTAATTGTGGTTTCAGTTAATGAGCTAGATTAACTGTAACACTTAAAAGAGACTTTATTTCAAGCAATAAAGATAACCTCACCCAAGATACCACCTGAACAGTTTATAATAATAATAATAATAATAGCTGCAATAACACTGAAATGATCTTAGAAATCTTTGCTTAGATTTTCACATTAATTGACAAGGGTCAACATTAGCAAGAATTTGATATTTAGCATGAAGTCTGACAGACCTTTTTCCTCATTAAAGCAAATATTTTAGCATCTTTTTACTAACATCTAAATTACCCTTATCAAGGAAAGGTTTGATAATGATCTTTCATTAGTATTGGCTAATCATTCTATGTGAAAAAAATGAGGCTAAAATTAGTGACTAACCCAGTATTATATAAAGTCAATTAATGACACACGTTGGCCTAAAGCACAAATGATGGTTTTTACATTTTATTGCATGTCTTCTCACATTGGCAGATTAAGTGAAACATGGTCAGTTACTAGCTCTGGGTCTTGCATTTCAAGTGACAAGTGAATTGCACCCAGAGAAGAATATCCAAGGCAATGAAAGATTCAAAAACCACATCATCTAGAGGAGGATCAGGGACACTAGAGACATTTAAGCTGAAGAAGAAAACACTAATGGAGCCACATGACAAACTGACCTATTTACCTCTATTTCCTCTATATTATTCCAAACGAAAGAACCAGGACCAATAGAAAGTAAGAAAAGATATAAATTTCAGATCAGCAAAACAATTTTCTAACAATGAGTCTGTCTACCAAAGGGATCATTGCTCTTATTAGGCTGTGAGCTACCCAACATCAGAATTACTAATTAGTAATAAAAAAACCACTGGCTCACAGTCACAGGGATGTCCAAGCTCATCTCAATTCTGAGCTGAGCGACATCATGTTGGTAGCTTGAAATGGGTCATAGAAGTATTTATATCACAGAAATCAGCTGATGCTACAAATCAGGGCTTGATTTATTGTTTTGTTAATGGTCTAGACTTAAGAAAATAATGGGGAAGATGTTAATAATGCTGAGGATACTTAAAAGTATGCCATTTCTGTAGCTGTTACGTTGTAAATAGTACAAAAATTAAGGAAATATTTTTCCAGTATTTGAAAACTATTAACTGCTTCACGAAAGTTGCTCAAATAATTGATGAATGAGTGAACTACCAACATGCATTTCTATTGTTTTACTTTCATCTGACTCATTAATTAAAAAAAAAAAAAAATACCAACCAACATTCGTGTCAGAACTACATCTTTATTCAATTGTTAACTGCAACCATAGGTTGGCTACAGATATAAGAGCTGAGCAAAAGTCAGCAAAGGCATTCTGTGAGAGTCCATTCGCTCTACAGAATTTACAATAAAGAGCACCATATATTTATTTGTAAATTATGACATCCTTTATATCAGTCAGATTTATAACAAACGTGTGAATGTGTATATACACACTTTTTTCAGAAAACTAGTTATTGAACATTTACCAATACACTGCTAGTTAGATGATCATCGTTCACCAAATAGTACCCCATATGACAGTATCCTTTTCTTCATAAGAAAAAGAAAAGTTTTTCTCAACTCACTGTTCATTTGTATAATCACTTATCAACAGTTCTCAATCCAGTTTACAACATCTCTCCACATCAGACATCCCTAGACTTACTCAGTGATGAGAAGGAAGGTATTCAGAAAGGGCCATTTGTTACATGTAATTCAATGAAATGAATTCCTTTAAGTTTAATAACTTTAAATCAATTCTATTAACATAATTTATCATACTTCAATTTGAATTCTATTTAAAAACATATATACATAGCTTTAATCATGAGATCATAATGGAAGCACTGCTCATTTCGCTAAGAGTTAATTAACCATAAAGTCATAGTTTTAAAAATACTTGAGAATCAGAGTTTTATGAATTAACTTTATTTTTGGTTATAATACAAAAACATTTCCTCTGCTACTTAATATTTAATTTTAAACCATCCTTTTTCAATTTTAAAAAATGCATCTGTTATTTCTATGTGTATTTCTATACTGACTCTAGGCTTAAGTAGTTAAATAGTAATACATCAAATTTTCTCAGGTACATTCAAATAAGACTGAAAAATATAGCTGTCAAGGTTAATTGATTCATCTCACTCCCTCTCATCAATAAGAAAATAATCAACGTGCGGCCAGGAGTCACATTTTATTAAAGTCTCTATTCCCAGTACCTGCAAGTATGACAAACACAGAGTACGCACATAATAAAGGTGTGTTAAGGAAACAAGGTAATGAACCTGCTTTATGATGACTCTGTGGACCTCAGGGAGAGAAAAACTGTAAGGGCTGAACAACAGATCACTCTACAAAGTGATTGTTACTTATTGAAAAACAGTATTTTTAAGCTTGGACCCAACTTGAAGCCCGTCAACAGTTTAAGAAAAAAAAAAGAGGAAAAGAAGATTTAATCACTCCCAGAAAATGAACTGGAACTCTTACAAGAAACAGGTATTGATGATACCTTAAAATAAGATGCTAAGCATTTTCAAATAAGAGGCTATATAGCATACTGATTAAAAGCTCAGGTGTTAGGGGCGCCTGGGTGGCTCAGTCGTTAAGCGTCTGCCTTCTGCTCAGGTCACGGTCCCAGGGTCCTGGGATGGAGCCCCACATCTGGCTCCCTGCTCAGCGGGAAGCCTGCTTCTCCCTCTCCCACTCCCCCTGCTTGTGTTCCCTCTCTCTCTATGTCTCT